TCACCCCTGAGTTAGGACGGATAAAAATATTACGATTTGCAAAGTTTTCACATAAAGTGCTGAACACAATCGGCCAGTAATAATAATTCAAAATGTTCGTCCTAAATGGAACAGGTATCAGAAGAGGTTGGCCAATCTTATTGATATTTCGTAATGATTAATTTTCAACAAGGATTAATTATTACAAAGTAGAAGATTTCAAGTGAGATTTCGGATTTTTCTTGGGGACGTACCATTTTTTAACTCTATCTAAATTAGACAAGAATATTGCGACGTGCAGAGTTTGGACCAAATCAAATCGAGAAATGAATTTCGTCCACTTGGCCCTTATATCAATTAAGCTCATTTGGGGCATATCAAATTAGAGATGAGCTCTGAAGCCATACGGCTTGTGACAAATGTGGGCAGAACAAAAGACTGGTAGTTGGGGATATGTTCTGGGAGAGAAAGGCCTTTTTGTACTCACTATTTTCTAAATATTGGAGAAACATTTAGTAAAAACTTTAAATTTGATTTTGAAATTTGAATATTTTCCTACCAAGTGAGTTGAAAGTGTGTTGAAAATGGCACATGTGTAAACCTACAAGATTACTGAAAATCTCTTTCCAAGTTATGTAAATTCTAAGTATAAAAATTGGGAGAAAAACAAGCTGTTGCAAAATGTTTTAAAATTGCCACAAAATATATATCAATTAATATATTTTCCCAAAAAATCCTATCATAATGAGAATTGATTATGTACTTTTTTGAAACAAAACATTTTGACATGAAACGCAACATATTAGATCAAAACAAATTTCTTCATGAATATAAATTTTTCTTAAAAAAAAGTTTTTTTTTGTTGGTTTAATGTCTGAACATTCATTAATTATGGCCCCCCTTCCCCTGCATTCCTTGTTATTGTCACTATGAGTATTTTTTATTTTTTTCTAACTTAATTAGTGGTGTTGTCGGGCAGACGCATAATACATTATTTAATGCGTAAGATGACACCACTGAAACAAGTATCCCGCCTAAAAGTGAAAAAGGACGATGAAAATGTGTTTTCGTCTTGCTTTTGCGGTTCCTTCACAGCAAAGGCAGACACATTTTATCCAATTTATTTCTAAGCTATTATCTTTTTTTATTTGATAATTTTATTAACACAATTTTAATTTTTATTGTTTATATGTTTGACACTGGCCTTAATGTGAAGCCTTATAATGTTGCCCTCGTTGTTGTGTTGTTGCCCTGTTCATTAACTGAGATGAGAGGTCAGAAATCTTTGGCATTTTAAGTGTTTTAGGCATTGCCTGTAATTTGCACTTAAATTTTTGTTTTATTTTTCCTTTGACGATATTTTTATGGGCCGACAACAGGGAATTACCCCCCCAACAAAAAATACATGACAGAAATACCCCAAATCCTATCAGTGTAATATAAAGGGACAAAGGCAACTGTAAGACTTGACCCCAAATAGGCAGCAAACAGCAACAGAAAAAAAATGAGAAAACAAAAACACACAACTAAAACGCAACAAGACAATAAAATATTTTCCAGAAATCAAAACTTAATTCATTGCCTATGTCCAAGAGTGTTTGTGTGTGTGTGTGAGTGTGTGTGTTACAAACGGAAGGATATTGTGGCAAAGGCCTCAGAGACCATAACAAAAGCCAGGAAAAAAGTGAAACATTTCCACACACAATAAAACCATAGCTGCTCCTAAAGAAACAACCCGAAACAATCCAAAGTGTGGGCCGTAAAACACAATATGAAGAATGAAATCAAATTAAGCTGTTTTATCTTTTAAGACTTCAAATGCAAAACAACATCAATAAACAAACCTAGGGAAACAAAACCAACAACAACAAAGAATGAATGAACGAAGGAAAGAATGAAAGCATTAATACATCATCCATGTCGGCCAAATATTGGAGCAAATGCAAAAACGTAGTCGCATTCAATCATTGAGATTTTCTTTCCTTCCATTTATAGTTTCCTGTGAGCTTTACATCTCAATTTTTATTAAGATGAAGTCGAATGAAAACTATGTTTACCCTTTGTAGCTGTCAATTTTGTTGTTGTTGCTGCTGTTATTGTATCTCTCTCTCCACCCTCTTTTCATTTTCAAATCATTGTAATGGTTAGCAAATCTTTGGTTAGTTTTACTGGATATTGAAATTTTTTGGAGTTAAAATGTGGGATTAACATTTTTAAGGCTTTGCCTTTCGATATTAAAGTGAATTTGCATTAATTGACAAGCCATGTAAGTGGAAATCTTAGGATATGGGATATGGGCAGAAATGTTTTAATTTAATGGATGCAAATGTTTTCCTTTAAAATGAAAAAAAAAAAAAAAAAAACATCAACGCCAGCTTTAATAGGGAAATATGTGATTGCAGGAGTTATAGGGAAAATTCTATCACTATATATTACACGGGAAATGTTAATAATTTGAGTAATTTTGCTATGTAAATATTTTATGTCCAGAAAAAAAATTCCACTAGTTCTCAGTTTCAGGTTTGCCGACAGCTTTTTCTTTTAGCTCATTACAAATCTACAGTATTGAACAAAAGTTATAATGTTATTTTAACATTTTGTGTTTGAAGAACCAGAAAGATGGGGGATGGTAGGTTTGTTGCAAGTTTTCAATTTTAGAAACATAAAAAACCATTTATGAGAGAAATTCGAGATGCAAGAGAAATGGATCCTTAAAGAATCTTTTCGAAATTATATACGATCTCTTGAACCGATATAATTCTCTTCTAGGGACAAAGTACTCACAAGCAAATCCCTGTGCGGATTTTCAGACAATTCCATTCAAACATGCGGCTAATATCATCAAAATACAGAATATAGGGGGGGCACCGTTATATGGTGGCTATACGACATCGAGAACCTATATAGACAATTCTTTCAGGGGATAAAGTACTCACAAGGAACGCCTTCTGCAAACATTCAGACAAATCCGTTGAAAAATGTGGCTAAAATCATCGAAATACCGAATATCGGAGGGTACCTTTATATGGGGACCATAAGATATCGTGGACCGATATAGCCCAATTCACTGCAGACAAAAGCCAGATCTGTGCAAAATTTTAGCTTCGTATATTAATTCGTTTTGACTCCAGCGTGATTACAACAGACGGACGGGTCTAAATCGAATTTTACGCTGATCAAGAATATATACTTTGTTGGGTCTAAAATTATTACTTTGATGAGTTACAAACGGAATGACGAACTTAATATACCCTCCATACTATGTATGGTGGAGGGTATAAAAAAATACAAAAATCCTTTTTTATAAAGAAACCGAAATTTTGTAACACCTACAAAATTTTAGAATTATTTTTTAACGCATCCTTCATTAACTACGTCGGACGAGCTTTGAGGAAGTCATTAAGAAGATACGAAATAGACTACTTCCTAGCCACACCATGCCATTTTAAAATCATGACCTTTGTCACCCACAATGTTGTAGTTCCGAATCACTTGAACTTATGAGACGTTTTGCTGGGGATGTACGTGGTCTTGATAACATCGGGTGCTCCCATTCCGCAGCCTACCTTATTTGTTTAAAATATGGCGTCCGAAATGGGGGAAAAAATATTACAATTCCTAAAGTCTATACTAAGGTGAATACACTATACGACAGCCACACAGACGGACGTACGAATTGTACATTTTCGGAAAAGCATGTAAAGGTTGTTACTATGGCCACCTTTTAGCACATATTAAATGATATACCTTTACCCTCTGCTGTCACATGGCGGATGGTATAAATATCAATTATTGGAAAAGTAGCCGTTATGTTTTTGATTTCAAGTTCCTTTTCTGTGAGAGCAATTTAAATATAACATCATCGTATGTATCTTTCACCCCACTTCGATTTATTTTATTTAAATAAAAACCAACTTAAATTCATTGATGGTATTCCAAATTACTCTGACTGATGTCTCTCTCACTCGGTCTCCAAGTGTACTCCACCAACTTTGACGTTGAATTGCATGTGACCTTTAATTGCCACTCGTGGCAGCAAAATGGAATACAAAAACAAAAGAAAAGAGAAATACTTTTTCCGACTGTCATTGTGTATTTTGGTCATGGTAAATAGAAAAACAACCTAAGTAAATTGTTTACTTTGCCATTCTGTGTCAGTTGGACGTAGTCACTGGGTTGTCACACTTTTTGCTTTGACCTCGCCCAGATAAGCAAATCTTGTTGTGATGCTTTTATTACATTTAATTTTTTCCGTTTTATTTTTCTCTGGGCTCTTTTACTCCCATGATATGGCGGGGAGGTGGTTATTTTTTCTAGTGCCTCAGGGAGGGATTAGATTTCAGCAACAATGTCCAGGAAGTTTTGTCAACACGTTTTGAGGTATGCCCAAAGGTATGTTTACCAAAAACTTTAGTTTTTTTACATTAAATAAGATTATTAATGACATTAGAGGTGCAAAGAGGAAACCAAAATAAACAATCATGATCGTAAAGAATGAAAATTGAGTTAAGTGATTAGAATGCTAGATTAATTATTGTGTGAAATATGCTTATAACGAAGGATATGACGAGATAAACCACCACATAAACTAATCATACGGTGCTATGGCATAAATAATGTCATTTCAAAAAATTTTATGTTATCGAGTATATATAAAGGCTTTGGTTCTCAGTTATCTCATAGCTTCTTAAAATGTAGTATATTCCAAATTCGATGTAGCCTAGAACTGATGTAGACATTTAATTAATTACTCCTTCCAACCATAATCATGTAGTTTTTTTTAGTTGTTATTGTCAAATGTATGTTCCATAGACTAATGTCATTTGTCTACAACACCCCTACGGCGTATGAGTAATGAACCTCGTCTACACGCAGATATATTATTACGTATGCAACACCATGTTCCCCAACTAAGCATAATCACATAATCCTCTATCCCATATTTTTCCATTGTTTGTGTTTTCTTTTATGCTTCCATGCCACCCAATGACACATCACATTCTTATGGCCAAAATACTTACGAATTTAATTCCAGATCTAAACGAAACTTATGATTAAAAGCCTTAATTAACAATGAGGTTCGATGAAAGTGTTTCTGCAAAGAGAGAGAGAAAGAGAAAAAGTAAAGCTTGAAATTAATAAACTGAATTAATGGAAGACATTTAATACTCGACTAAATGAATGAGAATTTTATTAAGTGTAAATAAGTGGAAAGAATCTGTTTTGCGATTAAGTTTGGGAAGGAGGAGGAGAGAGGGAGAGAGAGAAGGGATAATGTCAAAGCTTTCCACTTGATTGAGAAGCGCAATGACACACAATGTTCAAGAGTTTTTAGACATTTTTTGTTTAATTAACAAAATTAAATTATTTATTTATTAATTTGCAAAGCAAGTAGTGTAGCAGTCTTTACTAATATTGGCTAATTATTGGGATATTAATCAACTTTTGAAGATTTTTTGTTGTGAAATTGAAAAGTCTGTGTTACCAAAAATGACTTACAATAGTTTATGGAAGCTCTTATGGAAGGAAGGAATTTCATTAGTTTATCTTTAAATTAATATCAACATTACAAATGTTGGTCTGTGAAAATTCTAATATGAAGATCCCACAGCAAAGTAGTTAAGCCCTGTTGACCTTTGACATTTTTTAATTATTATTTAAATTATTTTTTAATTATTATTTAAGTTATCGTATAGTTTGCAAATAATTTATAAGAAAAAAAAATCACTATTACATCGTTGGAGCAATGCAAAAATGTTTAAAATACACTATTGAAAAATTAAAAATTGTTATTTTATCATTAATGAAGTTTTGAATTTTACAATTTCTGCCAAAAATTTAGGTTTGGAGATTTTAAAGCGCCACATATAGAAATAACAGTTTTATATGCGGAAATTGCAAAATATCGATGGTCTCATAAACGACATTTCCAATAGGGGACGTTCTATTATTTTTGCTATTGGTAACTTAAAAGATTAGCAAGAGATAAAGTAAGAGAAAACTAAAATTCTATTTTTCCTCATATTTGTATTCATTCTCCCATAGTATGGAGGGAAGTTTGTCATTCCGTTTGTAACACCTTGAAATATACATTTTAGAAAACATTCTATGTCGATTTAGCTATGTCCTCCGTCTGGGGAAATAACTCTAGCTTCCGAACGAATTGAAGCAGGTTGATAAAATTTTACTCAAATGTGTGTTTGGTCTGCAGGACTTTGGTATTGAACATTGCCATAAAGATCCACGTTTAGGTATACCTCCTATATATGTTCATCCCTATATTCTTCACTTTAATAGTTCTAGCGACATAATTTACCGGAATTGTTTCAAATCTCGTATTTGAATTTTTTAATAGATACTACAGCCTGTGACAGAAAATTAACTATACAGGTCAACGTCTTCGTATAGAGCGTAATATTTGTTTCTATTTTTTCTTAAATTTCCATATTCGTTCGGAATGTTGGCGGGCGTTTTTTATATTTTTTAATCTTCACCTTGAAAAGGAGGGTATACTAACTTTGACATTCCGTTTATAATGTCCCGAAAAATTTTCGTAGACCGTATATTCATAATCAGCATAAGTCGATTAAACAATGTCTGTCCGTTTGTTGAAAACACGATGCAGCCCACATTATTCGACGCAGATCTCAAAAATTTGGCAGAACCATTTGTATTGTGTATTGTATGATTGGTATTAAAAATCAGATATTTTGGCCCAAGTTTTTTAATGGTCGCCATATAACGGTACCTCCCGATGTTCGGTATTTTGATGTTTTTCGCCACATTTTCCCACGAATTTGTATAAAAAATTGTATTTGTAGGTCATAATGGGTTCTAGCTGCTGTGGCGAAATATTGTATGTATAGCCCCCATATAACGGTACCTCCCAATATGTGGTATTTTGATGATTTTTACCAAATTTTCACAGATTTGTCTAAAATATGGTATTTGATGGTCATAATGGATTCGAATTAGACGGCCGACTGAGCTTTTGCTCTTGAGCTGCCATGCTTAATATAAACATAAAATTCATACGAATCGAAGACAGTACCTAAATTGGGCTTGAATATTGAAACTCTCAGTATGAGTGTATACTAACCGGTACGTAATCCCACAAAAATGTCAGAAATGAGTCGTGCTTGTGTTTGTGGATGCCGTGTGAAACAGTCAGCATGAAGGCCACCGGACAAGGTCAAATTAATAAAGGTCTAGAAACGTGGCCATCTTCTGCTGGCCTATTAATTTCCCTGTCAGTTTCCATAAAACATTAAAGTAGTTGATAAAATTCAGTTTAAGCTTCAATCCATTTGTCCTTATAATTAATATTTCAAAAATAAAACGAATACCGGTATTTGGTCCTATGGCCACCGCAGGGTATTGGTGGCAAGAGATTCATGAATATTTACATTTCAATTGGAATATTTTAAATAATTTCAATATTTATATTGTTTTTATTTTTGTTTTGTAAATATATTTGCTTTGCCATTATTTTTGCTGGCAAGGCTGTTTTTAGCTTCTGCTGCGACACAGCCACAGCTGAAGTGGGTTGGAGGTTTGGGCTGACGCTTGGCTGGCTCTTTTTATTTGTAAATAGTAATGTAAACCATTCATTTCATTTGAGTAATTGAAATTTAATTGATAAACAGAATGAAAGCTTTGGAAAACCGCTTTCCATTAAAATGTTTCACTTGAGAGCACTCAAATCGACAATGCCGACAAATAAAAAGAAACAAGAAATGAGTTCGTATTCATTCCCAACCACATGCACACACACAGACGCACAGTCTCACACACACACAGTCATACAGAGAAACTCGCAAACGAGGTAACTATAAATAAGAGACTTGCTAAAAGAGAAGTGCAAATAAATAGCAAACATTTGCCGTGAGGGGAGGGGGTCCAAGGGCGGCTGGGACGATTGTACTTCTCCCTGACATCCTTGCCCTTTTAAAATTGCTAAAGACTTGAACTACACAGTTAAACAAGAAAGTAAATAATTTCAAAGGTATGAATTTTAAATTGAAATACAAATACAACAACAACATCGTAACTTGGTGAAATTTTGAAGTGAAATTCTGGCTGTAACAATCATTACCGTGCAGCGCACACCTTGAGATGTGAGTGGCAAAAATATATTCGTTTCCAATGTTTTATATATAAATTAATTATTGTTGGTTTCGCTATGCCCGTTGTTGTATTCTATGGCCGATATTCCGCCTGGCTCTGGACAAAAATTCCTGTCATTGTTTTATTACAGCAACAACGATAACAACAACAACAACCACAATGAAGAAAAACCTACAATTGTTTTCCTCAACATGCTCATTAAACAAATTAAAATGTTGACTGTTCTCATTTGTAACAATTTCTTTTTTTGTTTCTCCTTTGTACAACTTCCGTTGCCACCACATCGCTGTGCCTGCCTAGATACGTCGTTGTATTATTGTCATGTTGTTATCTGCCGATGCTGGATTCCACTGAATGCGTGGGTAGGTGTTACAATGGATGAAAATTACACACCTTTGCAATTACGCAGGCATAGTTGTTGTTGTTGTTGCTTCTTCTGTTGCCTTGAGAACTTTATTTCGAGACCATTCTAATCTCTTTAAATTGAATTTTAATACATTTTTGTTTTTCGAAGATTTTTTTTTTAAAAAAAAAAAACCATTTTATTATTATTTGTTTTTAATCATTTCGGTTTGCATTAAAAATAGAATGATTTTTAAGGGCAACTGTTGTTACCCCGAAAAATGATGTATATCATAGTGTTTTTTTGTATCCAATAGTAAGCCGAACAGATTTTTAAATGTCTGTCTGAAAAGCATCAAAATTGTATTCCGTTTTTTAAGAAAATCCAAAATTTGGAAATAAGATTTTCATAAAGCGAGCATTGCTCAGTTTTGTATCGATCTTGAGAATGAAATACTTTTAAATTACTTAAAGACAACTTGCAAACTTTCTATTGGTATACCGACATTTGATGATTTATTTATTTATCCCATTTGGGAGGGATTCATCCATAAAAATTGGACCTACATAATATTAGACAAATATTGCAATACCTCGTTACGCAGGCATCGGATTAATGATTTTATTTAACCATTCACATCCACAATTTTTGGCCTGCTGCTATAAAATTAAAAACATTTCAAGTCCCTTTGTGAGGAGGCTCACTATGAGTGAGCTGATAAATCCCATATCCAAAACCCACACCAGATCTAAAATTGGATTGATATTGAAATTTCGACCATTTTTTCACTTGATTTACATGCTAAGTGTACAAAAATTGGATAAAGATAAGATACTTCGATTGATTTGTCATATTTTATCATGGTCTATTGTTTTTGAAAAACGTTGACCTTTGTAAGGGAGGAACTAGAAGGAGTGAAACGGTTTCAAGAACGTTTTTATATGAAGCTACCAAATGAGAGTTCAAGTTGTGAAAATACTTTCGATTAGAAAACGCACATAACCATTAAAAATACTTCAGTTTTAAATAGTGACTAAATTCTTCAAAAACTTTTTTTAAAACTTCTAATATCAACAAATGGCTGATAAAGTCCAAACAAAAATGTAACGAAAATTAGCGCGTTATTCATAAATCCTTTATTTCAAAGAACAATTGACTAACGAGCAATTAATATATAGTCGTAAGTCAAAAGGTTAGATTAGGTTAGGTTGAAAAGAAGGACGAGAAAATCCCCACATATCCTGGTGGATATGCACTTAAACCTGTATAGACCTGTTGTGCGCTCTAGACTAAAAGTTATTTAAGAATACCGCAGTTTATAATCTATTATACAGGGTAAGATGAAAAAATTGAAATCAACTTCAGATTGCTGTCATTTCTAAGCCCCTCGTCCGACAGCTGTTAAAATTATTCCAGTGACAGCTCATTATATTGTTTACGAACGTACAAAAGCATTTTGTTGAGAATTTTCCAGAAAAAAGCTGAAATGTGCACCTTCGGTTGGCCACCAGAAGGCAAGCGCCGCCCATGGTGATTGTGTGGGCCGCCATAACAGCTGATGATCGTTTTTCGCTCATATTAAGCGAACGTGGTATCAGAATAAATGCCGAATATTATCGGAAAAA